CATCATTCCTCCAGACCTCCGATTGTTCTGGTCCTTGATGACTCTCAGATTCATTGTTTCCTTTGTGGATTGTTGTTAGATAAGAGGTAATTAGTCCATTGACTTGGTCAACAATTGTCGGTTCGTTGATCACTGGCGCTCCGCCTATAACATTTGTTAACTCTTAAGTTAGGAGATTCATAAAATCAATTCGTTACTAATCTAGCAGGGTTTGCATCATCGCTTTAGCTTCTTATATGGTGAATTGAGCAGCTCCTCGTCCAACGTTCTGAGGTGATAGACCTCCTTCGTTATTGATGACTCTACCGCTCTTTCTGATCGTCATATCGTTCTATACCCGTAGAATACGAGTATTTTAGAATAGTGTTATTCTACTTACTATATATATATATATATATATATATATATATATATATATATATATATACATAATAGCAGTTAAGGCATTTAACAATAAGGTGTCTTTCCATAGCTTGCTAGAGCTTATATCTATATTAATTTAGGCATATATCCTAAAGCATTCTATCACACAACTCACCATTGATACTTAGGTGTTGTTTGTTTTTATGAACTAAAAATTCATAAAGTCCGTGGACCACTTCTACAAACCTCTGCAGTAGAAGATGTGGACCAAACGGCTGCAGACTGTAATAAGAAGTGTTTTTGTTTTTGTTAACATTTGCAGACTGCTGCAGACATTAAAAAGTGAAAATAAACTAATTTAATAAACCGAAAATGGTTTTTAAACACAGAAAATTTTATAATTGTAGTCTTAAAATATTGAAATAAATTTCATACAACCAAATTCGTCTTACAATAACATTTTGCAATAAAGCTCATACAACCAAACTTTAATAATTCTCATTCGATATTTTTCATTAATTGCTGGAAAATTTCATCTCATAACCGGGTCATATATTCATGGTCCGCTATAGTACTATGTGTTGGAATCTGATCATCATCATCATCAACGACTGCATTGTTATTCCGAGTCGAAGCATTAGGTTCATCATATCGTGAAAAATACTCATCATGTGGGACCTCTCTTCTTATAAAATTATGAAGCACGAAACATGCAAGGGTAATGCTTCATTATGTAACCAATGAGAATGGTGTCATCCTCTTCAATATAGGGAATCATGCTTTCAAGACACCAATCGCACGCTCAATGACATTCCAAAGTTTTGTGTGTTCATGGTTAAATTTTTCTTTATTCGTCAATGCATGTTTTTGATGGAAATGTAAGCCAATACCTCACATTATGGTACGGTGCCATAAAACCTTGAATGTTTGCATAGGCGACATCACAAACATAATATTTATCTGTAAAAGGAAAAAATAAATAAATAAATAAATAATTAAAAATCATTTCTTTTTCAAACTAAGATAAAACCATTTAAATAACCATAAACATACCTGATGTTGGTAATGGGAATGGTGCATGTGGATTTGCTAATGCTTCTAATAATATTCTAGAATCGTGTGCTATCCCTTCCCAACCGGCCACAACAAACATAAACATCAGGTTGAAGTCACATATTGCCAATACGTTTTGGTAACAGTCACCTTTTCCCTAACTTCTATATAAATCTCGTTTGTTTGCAGGGACAACAACATGTATCAAAGTGCCATCACGTGCACCAACTGCTCCTTTGAACAACCGTCGTAGCCTCCTATTATGTCCCAAAATGTTTGGATTCGGATTAAAAGAAGTTGGTACTATAAGGTCATGTGCAAAAAGCAACATTTTCTCCAGCACTTCATGAAAAAACTTATGAATTGTCTACTTTGACTGTTGAAATGTAACATACACTTTAGTAACCTTGTTTAATTATCATGTTTCATATGATTGTTAGTTTAAAAATGAATATTATTATATATTATGTTGTTTTAAACGTTTAAAGTAGGTAGTTATAGTAAAATAGAATTGTAAGCGTTTAAATATATATATATATATATATATATATATATATATATATATATATATATATATATATATATATATATTATTTTCGGTATGGTTTTAAGCGTTGATTTCTAACGAAATAGGTTTATAATATTTGAAGTTAAACTAAGTTTAGAATCATTTGGAATGTATTAGAGGTGATAGGGAAGTCTTATGTGATTCCGATCAAAAAGTCAACTATCGGAATTAACGAAAGTATAACGTCTAAGTTAAAAATAATTAAATCTGATTTTATTGGAAGATCTTTTCTGGGATATTTTTATTGGAAGTTGTAAATTATCTCGTTAGAAACGTACAGGCGAAAACCTCATCGAAAACGGAGTTTCGAGCGAAAAGTTATGCAATTTTTAGTGTTTAGGGGTAAAACGGGTACCCAAACCGGGTCAAACCCGACCCAACTCGGGTTTTTACCCATTGAAACACGATTTTGAGTCATTTTCCTGCCATTTTCAGTTCGTCACCATCCCTATGGGAGATTTTCACATACATGATCAATCTTGATCAAGTTTTGAAGATTAAATCAAGATTTTGAGTGTTCTTGAAGTATCAAGTCTAGTAATCAAGGTATGAACTCTTAATTTTTGGATTAACCCTTGTAATTAGTGAGTTATTAAGAGATTAGGGTTTGATCAAAGTGGGTTTACCACTGATTTAATGAAATTAGGCATGAGTTTATGTTATTAACCTAGAATCTTAAATGGAAATCAAGTAACTACATGTAAACTTGAGAATTAATCATATGGTTTAAGAGTAATTAGTGAAAATTAATAATGAAACCCATGGTTTATACTTGAATTAGAATGGATTACTAAAATATTCAGTGTTATCATTGTAAAAGAAGAACTTGGTGATATTGATCATGAGGTTTGATCATGTAAAGGGTAAAATGAAATTATAAAGGGTATAATTGTCCTGTTTTTGTAAAAATCACCAAAAATTATAGAAAAATCGTATGGAGATGTGCTATATATCCCTGGAAAGCTGAGAATGTCTACTTTGATTTTTGTTTTAAAACCAAAATCTAATTCCGGACTTAAAAGGGGTGAAAACAGCTATATGTTCAGTGCAGTAAGGCTGAATTTTGACAGCTTTGGAACATTTTGACAGCTTTAGGATGCTGTTTTGTAAAATTCATAGTAAATTATAGAAAAATCATAAAAATGTGAGGTCAATGGAATTAGAAAGATATAAGAGTCTATTTTATTAGTATGTATAATTTATTAGTTATTTTGACATTTAATAAGGGTAAAACAGATCTGCAAGTGACAGCTATACAAAGAACAAAAACTAAAATTTCTAAATTGAAAACAACATAACTTGAGAGTAGTTGAGTAATTGCTTATGAAATTTGAAATATGAACTCCAGGGGTATAATTGAAGGTTTTAGAGGCCTGAGGATGGTGTAATTTCATCAGAAAAAGAGGAATTTTATCGCAACATTCGGTTACAGCACAGTGAGTTCAATATAGGGACAATTGTATGTTATGTGTTATATGTGCAATGTGCTTTCTTGTGTTATTGATCTAAGTGGTTATTACTTGATATTGATTTTGATGCCTTTGGCCATGTAGAGCATGACTCGTATCACTTTGGTATTGGCTTTGTGCCTTTGACCATGTAGAGCATGACTCGTATCACTTTGGTATTGGCTTCGGGCTAGGTAGGGCTGAAAGCCTGTATATTCTAGCAACATGATTAAAAGGGATTGTGTTTTATGTGCCTCTTGGGCTGGAATTTATGATGCTTATGATCCTAAATTATTGTAATCCCTTGAATCTAACCGTTTATTGATTTGGAAAGTCCTTCATTTGATACACATATAAGCCTTTGTTGTCCTTTGTTTCTTTTTGTTCCTATCATATTGTTATGTATATGGCATAGCGTTATATTGTATCTATTTTTGAACTCACTAAGTGACGCCCACTTATCCCTTTTAGTGTTTAACTATTTCAGGTGATAAGCATCCAGAGTAAACACACTTTGTTGGAGGACTTAGAGTAGTTGACACTACTACGTTTTTACTTGGTATACATATATGTATATGGATTATAAATTCCTGGGTAGTTATGTATTTATACAACTAGTTATGAAACTTTGTAAAAACCCTTTTAGTTGGTTTGTATCCATGCTTTTGTATTTAGACCACTAGTGTGAATTATAATTATGAATATGCATGTAGCATGTTTGGCTTTATGGTAATTTTAGTGAATGGGGTCTTACATGAAATCTCCACGTTATAATCACATAACGTTTGTTATGACCCACCAACATAAAAGACATAGCCATCTTCTCATCAACCGATACATGTTTGCTATCCTTTAACGCGTAGTTTACTCTAAAATGAGTACATAGTCGGACAAATGATTCATGGGACATGCGTACTACTTCAACACCTTGTAGAGGATTATGGTGAAGTAACTCTAATGTAAATTCATGTCCCGTCATTTCCAATTTGTTGTCCCGCACTCGTTTGACACCCTCTTCCAAAAGTAGAGGACGTACAAGTACATTAAAATTATGAGAAGTATCTTTTTTTCGTGATCCATTAGGAACCTATTAATCAACAAATAACGTAACATAAGATTCATGTGCCAAATAACATACACATAAAATAAAACTCAAGTACCAAATAACATCAACCTTAAGTAACCAACAACCATATAGTTCCAAATAACATAAAACTCATGTAACAAATAACATAAAATTCATGTACCAAATACAACAAAATAACATTCAAGTAGCAAATAACCAAAAAACATAACCACACAGTTCCAACACATGCAATTAAAAACTAAACAAATCAAACATATAAACTTAACGAACAATCTTTCCATCCCTTTAAACTCCTAAACTTGTAGTTGTCATCTTAATCTATCCTATTAACATTTGTGGAACATTAGGCAAATTTATCCACATCTCTCTTATATTCATGGTCCCTCCAAAAATATGATATGCAACAAATTCTATAGGCTCTACTAGGGCTAACTCGGGCAACTCTACTTCTCTAAACATTGCGGAATTGTTGGACCTTGAGTCAAATGGGTAGAGCTTCTTGCATCTCTAGTGCTAAATCATCAGCAGTAATAGAATCTTTAGGTGAGGCACAAGAAGGTGGATTAGGTGAGGCACTAGGAGCTCGAGGTCTAGGAGTTGAGGGTTTAGCCCTTTTGTTGGGGTTACCAGAAGGTGAAGCAATATAATGTGAATCAGCAGAAGGTGAAGCAACAGAAGGTGGTGGCTGAGTAAAATGCTCACTACTATGATTGGAAAAGTAAACATCCTCATCTATGTTAATGGAAGATGCGTCCATAAGCTTTAGTGGTGCGACATGGAAAGAAGATGATCCATGTCATGATGGTGTTTGGGATGTGGCAAAGCTTGGATTACCAAATGGATTGTTTCCATCAAAGAGCTCTGCACAAAGCCCTGGAAACAATAATGGGACGATTTTCATAGAAGTAGCTTTCAGATGTCCCTAAACCCAATCAGTATAACAAAAGTAATATAAGAATAAATGGCAACTATATAAAGAAAATACTACTAAAATGTTTACATATATATATATATATGTATGTATATATATATGTATATATATATATATACCTTTATAAAGTCCTCCCACTCCTCATTTGTTAAGTTAAAAGTATTTGTTTGTGGATTCTAAAGGTTGCCAATTTTGTTTTTCAAGTATAACCATCCTGCGTATTTGGCTTTAAGGTTGTCATAGGAGTTTTTCAATATTCTTTGATTTAAATCCATGCCATACTTTTCCTTACTGGTTGTTCCTAACTTATTCCATTATTGTTTCTGCAAACTCAAACCTTTTCTACCCACAGTTTGTACTTCTTCAATACAAGTGTGAAATAAGAATTTTGTTTGCTCATTGGTCCATGTATATTTATCTCCCATTGCTAATAACAAAAATATGGAATACATACTTTAGCAACAAAGATTAATGATATTTCAACATAATAATAACTTAAATTGATGACATATCAACAATGATGCATCATGAATAAAAAAACTTATAAGTTTATGATTTCAACAAGGATTTTAGCATATTAAACAAACATTTAAGCAAAATTTATTATATTTTACCATATATTTGTGACTTTTCAGCAATAAACTATCACTATTATACTTGAGAAACAAACAACATACATAAACAATAACAATTCAAAAAAGATTTTAGCATATTCAACAAACATTTAAGCAAAATTTATGATATTTCAACATATATTTGTGACCTTTCAGCAATAAACTATCACTATTATAGTTGAAAAACAAACAACATACAATAATAATAACAATTCAGCAACATGAATGCATCAAAAAAACAAAATCAGCAACAATTTCTAATTCAACAACATAATCTTCAACAAAGAAACAAGACAAGAAAAAACATATAACAACATCAACAATTCAACAACATATATGCAGAAAAAAGGAAATCGGCACCAATTTATGATTACAAACAATTTCTATTGCCAATTTCCAAGATGAATGGATAGATAAACAGAAAAAAAAATGAATTCAATTGAATTCACATGCGATTCACCTGATCTGATCTTTTATGGACTAAAAGTGATACAATAACTTTATACCAATTTATGATTACAAACGAAATCAATTGCGAATTTCCAAAATGAATAGATAAACAGAAAAAAAAAACATACTTCTGATAGGACGAGGTCGACTGCCAGACGAAGAAGGAATATATTCTGCAGTGGTAGTCGCCAGCGAGGTGGGGCGACAACGAGGTGTGGCGACAGGTAGTGGGGTTCTGATCTTGGAGGGACGTCGATGGAGCTTCGTTTGGCATTATATGTTTACAAACGATACAGTGTGTTTTTTCGGGTTGAATTCTTTTTAGGTTTAGGTTTGAAGGAGTGGGAAGAGGTGGGAAGAGGTACAAGAGGTGCTTCTCCAAGAAACACACTGGCAGATGTTTTAAGCCCCGAAGACTTCCGAAATACAAACTGCTGCGTGACAAAAAGTGTTTCGCATGTGCTGTGCCGTGCAACAATAAGAGTTTTGAAGAGGTTTTTTTTTGAAAAAAAAACAAGCAACACCTTAGCTTCTAAGTTTAAGTCTATAAATCAATCAAAATTCCTAGTTCTCATAAACTAATGCTTTGATACCAACTTTGGCGTCCCCTTATTTTTAGAACTAACTACAATTTATTCTTCACGCTTTAAGTTGTTGTGTTGCGATAAATCCCAGTTAAAAACAATTGAGATAACAAAAGTTATTTCATTTTATTAAAATACCAAGAATGTCACCAATAATATCTAAACATAGGTTACAAAGTAAAAATAAAAAGGTCGTGAAATACTAATACATGAACATCTCTTATTTCACTCGACATCTTATCTAGTTTCTAGCGGCCTTAGTTTAACTACTTGTGATGCATATAAATTGAGTGGGTCAGGTTTGGGAAACCTGTTGAGATGCATAGGGGTTTGAAGCCCATAATATATTAATGATAATATATAATAACATTCCTACAAAACAAACAATATATGTATAATCTAATATAAGACCACCTACCTTGCCCAATCGATTCTCACAAATCCTAATTCGATGATCATCTGGAAGAATCACTTTGCCTGACGAATCATCTAAGTAATTGTTTGACTACACAGGTTGGGGAGTCCTTGCATAGTATAAGTCATAATAAGGAAACTAATGTTAAGAGTAACTAATAGATATGATATCACATTCTACATACATTTGTGGGTTATAAGTCCACACTACCAATGTAATTTACTAGACCACCTAGAATAGTCAAGTATTGTCATCTACATTGGTCGATGAGCTAAACATACTTGCCAGTTGTCTGATCTGGACCCATGTAACGCCCGTGTTTTTAGGCTAAATATTAGTATAGTGATGTAATAGTGAGGTCAACCATTGTTACTTATTTTGAAGTAATAAAAATGAGTTATTTGAGTAATACGTGAATTACGTGAATTTATGTGCTTATTACTTGTTTATAATTATATAATAAATAAATAATAAAAATAAGCGTGAAAAATAAAGTGGTAGATAAACCCAATATCGATGAAAAAAGTTTTATTGGTCGTGATAAGGATTATGGACATATAAAGAACGCTGAAATCCGAGTTTTAACGAAGAAGTTATGACCTGTCGAAGTTTCATAACAAAATCGACATGACACTGTGTGACGTAAATAGTGAATTTACGATAGAGGACCTTTTGGTCTTAGTAATCTAAAACAAAGATGTAGTATACGTTAAATCGAGAGCGTGCACAAAAAGAATGCCCAAATCTAACTTTGTATGAGGAAGTTATGAATTTTCTAAGATTTGTCTTAGCAGTGCACAACCCGAAACTCGAATTTTAGGTCGAGCGGTTTTTTGGCCTATGCGACCTAAATGAGAATTGAACATCTCATTAATAGGAACTCAACGGTAAAAAGACAGACGGAAATAGAGTCCGTATGTAGAAGTTATGAATTTTACACGAACATGTAACAGTATAATCTCCTCATACTGTTAAATTTAAGATCAGTTGAGAATTAGCCGACGGAATGAAAATGAAATTTGTAGATCTTATTTTTACCTATGTGTGGATATAAAGAACGTCAAAAATGGAGCTCGTATGTGAAAGTTACGGATTTTAGAAGTTTGAAGTGTGTTGTGCGAAAATGGGTGACGTGGCACAATTTTGGACATTGCTTTCTCCCCAATTCTTTCCACCAGATGGTGACATGTGACACCAAGTTCAGCCATATATCACCCTATAATTAGAACCTCTCCCACCCTCATTTTCTTCACACCGTTCCTATTCTTTCTTCTCTTTACTCTCTCTCTCTCTCTCTCTCTAGAACCTCTCTCTAGCCCTGAAACCCCCCAAAAATCGTAGGGAACCTCCCTAGCACGAGGCGGAAGCCCCAGAGTGCTCGACGACTCCGAGATGAAGAGCTTTTTGGCTCGGGAACGCTGCTCCAAGCAAAGCCCGAGTTTCTATAAAACCCGCTATAAGTGAGCTACGCCTACGCTATTTTTAATATAACTTTTATTTAATTATAGTAACGTTATTAGGAACTTATAATAAGTACTTGGGCTATTATGATGGGTTATATAAGTATTTTTTAACGCTTATATAATAGTAATAATAGCTAGACTATTAATTAGTCTCGGCGAATAATAGACTAAACTCTAGTGGTAATAATAAGTAGGTTTCGTCGAAGGAAATTATTTTTAAGAAGCGAAGCGCTGTCTGTGTTCGGAATCACCACCTTTTCAGGTGAGTGCATAGTTGATCTTACACATAGATATGAAGTATTTAATATAAATTACGTGCTATGTGTGCATATTGTCTGAATACTTGATGTCTGTGCTAATGAAAGATTTTTATACATATCATATACATGTCATAAATGATTTAAACTGTATATGTATTTATATCTACAAAAATGTTGGGGTAAACATGGGTAGGTGTAATAGACGATTTGTAATAAAATGAGGAGAGGCCTCGATGTTACTGTTATTGATTCTGTCATCTAGCGGAGTATGGATAACGACCACAAACTCTTCTAGATAGTCCAGAGGAACACCAGCAGGCTCACAACCTGTAGGTGTTTGTGAAAGATGTGTTCATCGGTGTACTCAATCCCCCTCATGGTTGCCTTAAGGACATTTAATGCTGAGGAATCCCCTTAGCATTAATGTCTATCCCGATGTTGATCCTTAGTGTAGGTCCCTTATTATATATGTTTTAGGGATGTAATGTGAGGATAACGGGAACAGGTAATCGGGTTATTGTTGGTTGATGAAATTAATAAACTCATTTATAGTGGGTTGAAAACCCTATGTGCTAACCAGGCTCCCAAGCCTGACATGCTTAGTTTCATGTATTACAGGTAGTGGCGCTCGAGCATAGATGTGATGTTTTGGATGAGGGATTACGGATAAGGCCTATAGATTTGAAATAATGTAGTAAGACTTTATATTGTACTATTTATGCTTTTGATTTGTATCGAACATGACATCCCAAGTCTTTTTAATGAAATACATTTATATGGAAATGCTTTGATAAATCTTTATCATACTTTTATTTTGGGAACAAATTCTGTAAGACTTTTATGTAAAATATTACTCTGATTTTTAAACAAACATAAACAAAAAAAAATCAGTCTATTCTGGCCGTGAAAATGGGGATGTCCCTACCTGCCAATTCTGATCGTCTAAAAAGAGGAGGACTATTACAATTCGCTCTATTCTCGCACTCTACCCCAAAATTAGACCTATCCAATTATGCAACTTAGTTAGAGCTAAGAACCTTTTATAAGTCCAAAACTAACCCATACTATATCTAAAGGAAAATTTGTTTCTAATAAAGTGCCTAATAAATAGTTCTATTATAGTTATACATGTAACATAAGGTACAATTAATACAATTAGCATTTAATAAGTACTTACATAAATTATACTCTTGAAAGTAAGTATGCAATCACTTCATAAAAGTAGGTGATTTGAGGTTAGTGCATCACTTCACCATAACACTTTATCCTTTCAAAAGGCCTAGATTAAAATAGCACTCAATCTTAGTTTATTTTCATAATCCTGGTAACTGTGGTGATGATATTCTAGATTCCTCGATAATTCCAATGTATATATCAAGATCTATCAAGTAAAGAATAACCAGATAGGATCATATCGGAGGGTAGGGTCTATTTGTTATACATAATATACTGTTTGGAAAACCCACTTTAAACATCTCATTAAATCCAACCTAGACATCACTCTCATTAGTAGATCAATCAATATAATGACCTGGAAGCATTGATAAATCTTATTTGTAGGTCCATAATAAAGACTATGACTATAAATATAAGTTACACTTAAATTAAAATAAGTGTGGCCTAAGTTACAGAGTTTTCATGCAAGAACCGGCAATTATGCAGACAGAAATCTGACCCGAGAACTTCTTTTTCTACGACTCTCGAAGTCGTAGGGGCCTCACTAAAAGTAACCAAGAACTATGGAGTAAGGGGCTTAGGGTTGGAAGAAATTCTAGAGAGTTTTGAAGGGAAATGGGGCTACAAACGTTTCTATTAATAGGTTGGAGAAAAAGGCACCCCATGCCTTTCGAACGCACGTGTTGCACACTTGGTTAAGGAAGAGTGGCATGGCTTGCTCAGGGTGGTGACACGTGGTAGGTTTTGGGTGGAGTGTCAAACGTACGCCGCCCGTCTTGTTGGTGCTTCTCCACGTGCGCATATTTTTATAAGAACTTCAAAAATACATAACTTCTTCATATGAGCTTCGTTTTTTACGCTCTTTATATCTATCTGTAGCTATCAACGGAGTCTACAATTTTTTTAAACTCCATTGGTTAATTCTCATTTTATTTTTAAAGCTATCTTTTTAACAGGCTGAGACTCTTAAAGTCTGTATGAAAATCATAACTTTTTCATACGATTTCCATTATCGACTGTCTTTTTATCAATGTATATGTATTAACGAGATCTTCAACTCTTGTTTAGATTATTTTTCCTAACAATCAACCAATTTTAATTTTAGTTTCTAATATGTATACTGCTACGTTGAAATTCCGAAAAATCATAATTTCCTCTCACGAAGTCAAATTTCAGCATTATTTGTATGGATAAGTACGCTTTTTTGATTTCTAAGACTATTGTTTAGATTATTTATCCTAAACAATCTTTTATATATTTTAGCTCTATTTATTACATTTCGATGTGCCATTTGTCACAAATATTATATACACCTAATATCTATAAAATTCACATAAACACACACACGCATATATATATATATATATATATATATA